GTGACACATTTTATTCCAAATAGCATATTTCAAAAGTATACTGTGATAAATTACATTTTCATAAAAATTTATTTATTTGCATTGTATAAACGGTCGTAAATTTGTAGAAGAAAAGAATGCCATTTCTATCTATCTACCTTATATTAAATATAAGTTCAAACAGAATCACAATTTTATACGCGTAGTAGATAGTGCATTCGTAACAGTGTAAAGGCATTTACACGAACTTAAGCTTACTGGCGCACACAAACGTAGAACGAGTACCGACAGATGACAGAGCTGGGATCTCGGAGTGCGCATATAGGATTAGTCCGGCTTACAAAGCCCAAAGCTAATTATTATAATTCCCAGAACAATGATAATCCATTAAAAACTAATATCGCTGGTAGTAACTGAAAATTAATCATTACTTTTGACATAGACGTTTCTCGATATATTAAGTAGGCCAACTTGTCAATATTTTATCAATATCGCTAATCAAACTATATTTAGTAGCATTTACATGTATTCTATTAAATGTGCAAGAACTTCTCTCTTTCTCTCTCTATTTATCTCTGGGTTATCGTCAAAGCAAAATTGATAACATAGGTACTCGTAGATACTAAACTACTATCTAGAATTTAGATAGAGTATAATACATTATTTATAGACGCTATAAAATACTAACTTGACGGCAATGGGTACCGTACGATCGATCGATCGTTGTGACGAGCATAGCTCGTTAAAAATGTCTCGTCAATTATATTTCTAACAAGGGAACAAGAACAAGCGACGATCGGATCATCTACGTGCATGAAAATTAAAATTCTTTTAAGGATCACCAAGGCGTCGTAAAACTAAACGGCGATAGCATTCACACGCACGCTCCAGCCACATGCATAAACATATACATATATGTACAAATACACAAACGTACACAAGTACGCGTGCGCGAGCTGGAAGATCGGTTTTTCTGTGTTGGAGACGATAATGACCACGATAACCGATTATAGTCTGAATTATGATGGAAGTTTTAAAGCGCCCCGCCTTCATTGGCAAACGCAATTAATTAACGAGGAGAGCTGCCCGCCTATGAATTATTCGTCCGTTTCTCCCTAGCCGTCGGGCGAGCACGAAAGAGCCAGGCGTCGTCGCAACGGGCACGTCGAGAACGTGATTCCAACATTGAAATCGTGGATCGTGCTCTCTCCTAGACTGCGAAAGACAAATTTCGCGTTGAAATATGTAAGCGAGAACGCCGTTTCATCCTTTAATGCCTGAACCCCTCGAGCAAAAAATCTAATAAATCGCCATCCTCACTAAAATAACTTTAGGATGCCCGAAAAGATGACAATTTTTAGCACGTTTAGTATTCAGTTATATTATATTTTTTCAAAATGTCTCCAGAATATTGAAACTTTTTTACTTTGTATTATCGTTTTAAATTCTTTTATATAAAACTAATTATTTAACACAATGAAACTTTACAAATCAAAAACGAATATACTAACTGTTACATAATACAAGTAATTTCTTCAACTACTTAATACAGTTAATTCATAAAATCTCAATTCTTACATCTTTAACCTCATTTCTAAGGACAGTAAATCGATCTATTTAAAAGATTCACGTTTCCTTTTTGAAATAGCACATAAGCAATTACAAAGTAAATTTCTCAAAGCACTATTTCATAGCCGATTTTAGCGAAAGGTACTTAAAGCTTGAGCGAAACGTTCGATGTGCATCTGTATGTACTACTTGGCTGATACTACTGGTCGATTGTTCGAAAAAGATAGGCCGAGGAATATAACGATGGTACAGTACGCTATCGTTTGGTTTAGAGTGTCGTTCGCATATAAAAGGAAGAAAAGAGCGTACTGGTGCTTACAGTCATGCCCGATAGAGTCAGCAAGCCGAACATTGTGGTATCGAAAAAGAAATTGCTCTAGCGAAAGCCAATAGGTTTAGATCGAATCAGCTTTCGAAACGCTTTTGCGCTGAAGCTTTACTTCTTCCTTCGCTCGCGCCCGCGGCTAAAACGAGGCTAAACCCGGATCCGTACCGTCCTCGAAAAGGCACTACCTTCGATGAATCTACGATCTTCTTTCTCTATATTTCTCTCTCTCTCTCTCTCTCTCACTCTTATTCTCAGTCACTCATTCGTTTTTTCGTTTTTTTTTTCTAGAGTAAAAGCTATTAACCGTAGGATTCTTCTTTTTTAACGTCTTTGAGAAGGAAAATCCTGCCAGTGGCATCCAATGGAATCGTGCTAGAACGGATATCATAGGTACGAAAAAGGATGATAGCGGATTCAATCGAGCGAGATTAAATGGAAACGAAAACGTCGCATCCTTCAGAACGAGAAAGAAAAAGAGAAAGAGAGAGAGACAGAGAAGGGCCACTTTATCGATGAGTTTACTCTCTCGCCCCGTAGTGACCGTAAACGAGCCCTCGGATTTTTCTCATCCGTTCAACGACAGAAGCTATTAATACAAAGTCTTTCTCTTTAGAAACATAGTCAGACTCATTACTACGTCACTTAGAATTCACGATAGTATTTTTTACTTACTAGAGTTGGATTAAACGTTGGCAACTCGTTAAGCAGAATTATCGACCAATCTTTCTCTTCCTCTCTTTTTATTTTTCTTGACAAATTAATTAAAAAATAAGGATTAAAGATGTAAAAGTTGGTAAACGAGTTTTCATTGTTAAAAAATATTATTTTCCTCAAAAAAATAGTTGCGATACGAAAATCATTTAACGATGACAAGATTTTTCAAAGAAAAAAAAAATTTAGAAAAATGACAAAAGATTTCTCTCGATCAGGTGAGATCCAGGATTTCGGAAAATAGTTTTCAAATGAAGAAGGTAAATGGATATCGATCATGACAGATATAGTATGGTCTTCGTTATACGATCGATCTCGAGCGAAATAAAATATGCTCGAGAGTATGCACAGCTACTTGACCGTAATTACAAGCTCCGAAGAAAAATACAGTGCGCTATTACTGGAAAGGGGTTAGGTAGACCCACCTACCGATCGGGTTATACAGACGAAAGAGAGAGACGAGTGGAGAAGATAAGAGATGAGAAGACTTAAACGAGGAAAGAGAGAAAGAGAGAAAGAGAGATAGAAATAAAAAAAGAAAGAAAGAAAGTAAGAAAGAGAGAGAGTGAGATAGAAAGAGAAAGAGGGCAAGCAAGCAGGTAGAACGAAGCAAACGAAGAGGCATTACTCAGATAACTGAGACGTGGAACGAATGAACGAAGAGAACTGGTAGAAGCCAGGAGAGAAAGAGAGAGAGAGAGAGAGGAGAAAGGACGAAAGAAAAGGTTCCTACAATCGGAGATCGGAGGGTGAAAAGGACGGCTCGCGTGCCTGGGTGCAAGTTCGCTTTAGCTTCCGGTAGCTTGCATGTTTCGTCTCCACTTGTATCCGCGTATTGCACACATGCATCTACAACCTATTCAGTGTTCCATACCTATACGTCTTATACATATATATCAAATGTTGTGAAAGGAATTCGCATTGTCACGCTTAACTTTGCGAGAGGAAGGTCGTCTAATGTTGAAGAAAAATTCGCCAATCCCACCCACCCTCGACTGGCCAAAACTTATTACTACTTTAATTAATTTTCTATGATTACGAATGGCTTTTGTCGACACGACTTTGCTTGCTATTTGAAAGTGAAAAGATATACTGCTGTCTCTCGAAAACGACCGAATTTTCTTTTTTTAATTCTTATCGAGCCAATTTCTTTCGCTGATCGCCTATATTTTTTTTTTTCTTTTTTAACTATTCGATACAATCCTAGATATTTTACAAGGAAGGGTGATTATAAATTTAGTTTTCTTTTTTATGTTGTAACGTTTCCTTCTTATAGCAAGGTACTTTTCGATGTCGTGACGATCTTAATTTCGATAGTCCTAGAACGATATAGTTACCCCGTTGAGTTTATACGATGTTAAAAGTTATCACGATCTTCGTGCGACGATTAGTAAGGAAAGAAATATTTTATGAAAAATTCTTGAAATAACACGGTTTAATAGAGAATAAATATATTCATAGATAATATAAAGAAACGAATAATCTAGCATCGACATTGACCACACATGTACCGTTGGGAATTAATAGTATAGTGCAAACTAATTAAATTTATCAACATATGTTGAAGGAAGCTTTTTGTTGATAGTAAACAGTAGGGTGATTAAATTAAATAATGAATGAAAATTAGCAAAATCCAACGAACCATCATCGACTGTGGTAGTAGCATCGGCTTCGAGTTGCTTTGATGTCTGACGGTAGTCACTGATTATGTAATTAATTATTGCACAGAACCCTCTTTTATGCTCGTTCCCTTTCCTTGCTTGCTCGTATGCTTTAGACGATCTATTCTCCGATTGAAGTTTTACCTTTGTCCTTTCTCTATCTTTGTAAATACTTTTCTAATATAGGAAGAAATAACACCGCCAACCGATCACGGAATGCCGATACTGCGGAAGGTCAAAACAGTTCACATGTCGGGGTTCTTCCAAGTACATACTCTAATGCCGACATTATCCTTGTATAACCTACGACGATTATACCCGACTAAAAGCATCGTGGATATAATACCCTAACGGTAGATACACGTTTTTCCTATTCACATATGCTCACTTAGTCCCTTGAGAAGTTCCAACCACATGTAATTTAGTATCTTCAAATATGCTTGCTCTATGCATTTGAACGTTTCAAAAATATCTATAATTATTTATAATTATCGTATAGTTTACTCTAACATCGTCTAAAATTAAAATTGATTCCAACATTAAATACTGATACGGCTATTATAAGGAAAAATGATGGGCAATTCCAGATTATAATTTTCTGATTGCTATCGTTAGGATATTTATAGAAAAAGATAGCAAGTTTTCGTCGATAGGATAAGGGTAATAGCGAAAACCACGCTCAAAGCGTTCTTTTTATTTTTCATAAGTATCTTATAAAATAAATCTTATCAAATACTTATAAATATATAACGAAAATACATAGAATATTCTACATACAAAATAATACTGACTTAACATTGGCTCTTGTTTTTTTTACTTTCCTTTATAGATATAACGTAACGTTGTGCAACATTTAAAGGAGGTGAAAAACCATCGCAATAAGTAGCGTCCTCGAAAAGCACTTCGTATTCTTCCGTAGCCGTGGTAGGTAAATGATTAACGACAGCTTTGTAGAAGCATGTTGTCTGTGGGTAGAGAGCCATGACGACGGAACCTTTCGCGAACAAAGCGTGAGGATCGGTCTCCGGATTTGCTCTCATCAATGGTAGAGGTACCACTCGTCTACGTGAAAGGGTGTGACGGTCTTTCTGTTCTTCATCGATATCGTCTACCTCATATTTATTTGTTGCTTGATTGAATTGTACGACTTCCGCGAGGATCCAGTTTTCTTCTTCCTCCGATCCTTTTACCAATGCAGCTACCATGTCTCCCATTTTCGCGATATAGGTGGGCTCAGCTGGAACAGCACCGCACAATGGAGGTGCTTTTGCTCCTGGCGCTTTACCAACGTAAAGAGGAAGCGTCTGTGCTGTACTTAACAGCATCTTCATTAATGCACCACGTCTGATCGTTTCTTTGTTACCAGCGTTCCTTGCCTGTATACGCCTCTCGTTCCTTATCCCACGAATTTCATTAATTTTACCCAAGGCTTTTCGCAAAATTTCTTCTTCTTGTTGAGCGTCCGTAACCGCTGCACTATAGAGATTCTTCAATTTTTGTTGATAATATGAAGATACTTTATCTTCCGGTGTGACTTTTTCGTGAGTTTTCACAATATTATTTAAATTGTGTTCCGATCTACTCCTTTGTGCCTCGATATCATGAACTAACTGATACACATTTCGGAGACGCTCCTGGATCTGTGCGGCTGCTGCGTCCGCTGTAAATGGCATTTTTCTGATCTCAACGTTTTCCGATAAGATAAAGAACGAGTACAACGATTCTTAATTTTTTATATGAATCTTCAATGATTATCAGTTGTCGTTTAGATGCTTACACAATGATTCTTCGATGAATCTCTGTAAGAATAAAATGGACTCGTAAGTTATACTCACATTTATTAAATAATAATTTTCAGCGATAAGTATAAATTAATTGTTCGATTTTTCAATTTCATGCATTAGTAATAAAATTCATTAATAAAACAAAGACACTTAAATCTGTTGTCATTACAAGAAAAAAAATATTTCCACAGTAGGATTTGAGATAACCAAAGTTTATAAGTGTTATAAAGTGTACTTTATAATAGCACTTGAAAAAGGCAGTTTTAATAATAATCACATAAATTGAATAATCTCTTTGATAAGATTATAATTAGTAAACATCATTAAAAATAAACAGCACTCTTCAACTTGATATATATAAAAATGATATAATATAAAACGAGATACAACTTCACATAACCTCACATAACCTCACAAATGTATAAATTTATGACGTATGGTAAAGAACGGATCAATACTCATAAATTCTCGACAATTTTAAAAAGGAGACAGCACTGTGGGTAAAGATGCAAAAAAACGTACCTTATTTAAGAGATAAAACTTGAAAATACTTTTGGTAATCACAAACAACACAATAATCAACTCTACAAGACGAAGCAGTAAGCAGTACTAAAGCGTTGTTAGCTTATACACCCAAGCGTGCGTGTGCTTCTGCGCCATACTGCACGAGTCTCTCCCACTACCGACTTTAAGAAGAACCTTCTATCAAGGCAGTGCTGCTCTCTCATGGTACGAATATGAATCAACCAAGCGTACAAAGTTTTGTCCATGCACGTGCTTCGTATTCTCTTTCCTTTATTTTCTCTATTGATTGGATCTAATTTTATGAAAACTGTAATATTTACTCACAACTGAAATTATTAATGATCACTAAAATATTTTACAAAGTAAAAGAGATAGAGAGAGAGAAATAAACAATAATAAAATAAATAGTCCCAATGCAAATAACGATCGATAGCATTGAAGGATGAACAGTTTCGATAAATCGTAAAGTTAATAAAAAATTTTACAAAAGTTGATGCTGTGTACTGGACGGATCATTAACGTTTGAAATTGTAAATGATCTCTAATTTATGAAACATTATATAAATATAAATATCATTGAAACCGTTCGATAAAACAAATTTAATCATTCTCAAATAAATACTTGTCGTTTGTAATTAGTGATACATTATTTGTAAACCACAATGATATTAAATAACGAAGGAAAATCTTTATGAATAGGTAACAAAATTGTATAATAATCTTGGTAGATAAAATCGATTAAAAGAATATTAACAATCGTGAAAAGAGTATTGTGACGATGAAAACGACGACGAGAATGGTATGAAATAATTTCACTTTCTATGATCTCTTACGAGACGGTTCTAATGGTACGAAGTAGTCGTGTGTACTCGTCTGGAAATCAAATCCTTTTTGCATGATGAGTGAGCAAAGGACAGTGAGAATGAGCTATTAAAAGATATTATGGTGGCGATGAGCTTAGCAACCGCAAAACCTAGATATTACCTATGTATAGAGATATATAATATACACGCGTAATATATAATATAAACATATATATATGTATATACAATAGGTATATAGTACAATACTCATACGAGTTTCGTTTCAAAAGACGGAAACAAGAGATCTAACGAGGCGTAAGAAGATCTTCAACCTCGGGGTAACTCTATGCATAATATCATTCTCTACGCGTGCCTGGCTGCTCTCCCTTTATTCCTTGATTCTCCCGATACCGCAAGTAATGTTCAAGGATGTCAGCCCGCGAGGTGAAAACCTTCTCAAATTAGTGCTTTCTAAGTTTGAGATAATGACAAAGATTCCAAAGGATTTATTCTTAAATACTCGATCTTATTCTATAGGCTGTAATATTTCATGTATTTATTAGAGTCAAAGATGGAAATTATTTAAGTATAGTTAGTAATCATATTTTGAAAAGATCTAAAATATTATTTTTTGTTTGATTGTATATTGTTGTATATAACAAATTTTTATTGATTGTATATAACAAATATTTGTCTTATATCAGAAATGGAAGAAAGAGAGGGGGTGGGTCTATATATGTGTGTTTTAGAAAAAAAAAGAGTAAGACTCGTGAGAGAAATGGAAAATGATCGGAAAAGGAAATGTAATCCAACTTGGGGAATTTTATCTTGAGTGCCTTCCGGCAACCTACGGTTGATTCGATTTTCGTCTAATATTGACATTTTACGATGCACAACTTAACGACCTGTTGCAGTCGTTAAACCGAGTATGATGCTGGATACATAGTATACGCATAGACGATATTTCAAAGGAGTCCTGCATAAGGCACAGAATAGAAATGTCAAGTGCAGATACATTTACTGCCAGCGAAGCGAGGATCGAAACGTTGCACGAATAACAGCCAGGATTGATAAGACTGAAGGGATAGAAAAATCGAAAGATAGAACGAGCGAACCGAGAAGAATACGAAAGTGAGAGAAAGAGAGACAAAAAGAGATCGATACGTCATGACTTTCGTATTTTATGTCTGCTGCCTTTCTATCAATTTTCGTTTATCAGAAAGACAACCAAAACTGATAAAAAAAAAAATGTTAAAAAAAAAAAGAAAAGAAACGATAACCAAACATTACTTTTCTACACGCTTTCTGCTAGATCAATATGTAAAGCAAATTATTGTTTGCGGTCCGTGCTTATCTTAGGTCGTTCGATAAATCAGTAAGCATTTCTCGGAAGGACTAAAAAATAAATTAAATGCTTGGAATTAAAAGTAATATCGGCACACATAACTTTTCAAGAACAGGATAAGATATCCTTAACAGTTTATCATTCCTTCAAAAAAAAAAAAAATAAAAAATAAATAAATTACAGAATCACATCTCTAAAGGAAAAAATAAGAGGAAAAAATTTAGTGACGAATGTGAAACAAAAAAATTTTTCTTCTCGTTTCTTTTTTTGAATGAGAAAGTTTCTTGACGTTTGATTAACTGGGAAGCCTGTTCAAAGGTGACGGAACAAGGGATACATTTATTCACTTTCTCCCTTGTAAGAAGGACACCCTGAGATTTCTAGCTCGCTGTATAATGCAGGAGTGATACGCATTAGCACGATTGGACCGTGAGCTTTCCAGTACACAGCTCATCGTCTTTTCCATTTTCATTCTTTATAAACCCTCCCTAAATTCACTGCCATATGCTAGTTATAACGATGGTACTGACAGGATCAGTGGTAGGGATGGTTCATTCCAAAACAAAAAATAGGGAGAAAATGACACGCACTGTTACACAGCTAGCGAGCGTTCTCGTTTCAACGAAAGAAATTAATCGAATCGCGGCACGTTTCCCACGACGATATTATTTCAACAAATATCGGTGCAGCTGAACTACCCACAGGACAGGAAAAGAAAAATCGATGGTGCAAATTGACCGCTCCACTAACACTTCTAAAGAAATAATATTTTTCATGTCATTTGGAATATTATTAGAGTTCGTTCTTTTCTTTTCCTTTCTCTTTTTCTCTCCTTTTTTCTTTCTCTTCTTTTTTTCTATTTTTTACATTTTATTTAATAATCAAACAAATTTTTTTCCAATTCACCGATCACATGTTTGCTTTTCCAATTCCAAATGTAGACATTTTCGTCCATACTATTCTAAAATAGAAAAAATTATAACTTTCTATGAAAAGAATCGCGTGCTTCAAACTAGTTACTCGAAACTCAAAAGTTTTTCTTCAGTAGCGTGTCATTCAAATTAAACGTTCTGATGAACAAAATGAACTACATAGAAGTAACTAGACGCTAAAGGATATTTAAAGAAGTACACAAGTATGCAATTACGAAAACGAGAGAAAATATCAACAAGCTTAACAAAAAATGAAAATACTTCATTCAATTAACACATTGATTAAATTATTAAAGAATATAGCCGATGGATCGATATTAAATTCAACGAAGATTGACAAGCCAGTAAAAAGGGTGGAAGACAAAAAGAAGGAAAGAGTAGATACGAAAGTTTCGAGGTCGGCGACAGGAGAAGAGGGTCGAAAAGAAGGGCTCGAAACGCTTTGGCTGACAGGTTCACCCAACGACAGAACGAGGAATGTATTAATAATAAATGCAAATGCCTAACATCAATTTCTGTCTGGTTACTTTCACTTCGGCTGGTAGTTTTCCTGTGTTTATTGCACTTCGTTTCAAAGCCATGAAAAGAGGAAGAGAGAGAGAGAGAAAGCTAGATTCAACTTCAGACCCTTTATGCAGTCGATCGTTTATTTACTTAAACTAAACTCGGTAAGCTTGTCAGAGTGTCGAGCATGCCAGAAACAGGAAAAAGAGCTCGAGACATCGAACAAACTACACAAATTGATATCGCTCTATGTTTCTATGTCTTTCAATTCTTTCTCTTTCTTATTTCTCTTTATCTTTAAATTTCACAGATTAAAAAATTAAAGAAAAGAATTTTATTATCAAAAAATGCGAAAAAATATAATTCAATATACATACATTTATATGAATGCACATAACATTAAAAGTATTAAAAGAAATAAAAGGAAGATTTTGCTGGATAAATAGTTATCTCGTACTCTTTCGAAGAACAATGAAAAGAACAGGTGGACTGTAAAAGACGAGTGCGATCATATTATTACGATTAAGGTGGTTTCATCGCTAGCAAATTCATTTCCTTTGGCCATATTTTTTCAAGAGAAGCGCTTAACTGTACCAATCTGAACAAACTATTTTTCCCTTTTTGCATACCTGCTCCGTTATAAAGAACGAGATCGCTGTCGGAAAGAGATTTCTTATCTGTCAAGGGAATAGAAGGGAAGAAAAGAGAGAGAGAAAAAGACAGAAAGAAAAAAGTTATGAGAGGATTGGTGAAGGAGACGAGGCGTAGCTTGTGTTCCATCGATTAAACAAGACGAAGAGGTTCTGATCTCTTGGAAAAACTTTTGAATACGTGGGGACTCCATCACTTTCTCTCTCTCTCTCTCTCTCTCTCTTTTTCTCCTTCTCTGTTCAATGCGATCTCATCTCCTTATTCTTGAAAGATCACCAAGCTCCACTTAGCAAAAGGATTTATATGACCGAAGTTGAAATCGAATCCCAAATGGATAGAAGTTTGAATTTGAGAGTGAGCAAATATAAATGGTGACACGGTAGTTCGATCAATAGACAAGATGTTACAAGGAAGAGGATTGCTATAGGACTTCCGTTATAGATTCGAATTAGTTACTAGCCTGCGAAAATGAGAGGAATAATTGAAAGTTATCCATGAACGTTAAGCAGCTGTGAAAATGATTATTATGGAAACGAACTGATATATGAGAAGGAAACGAATTAGAAGAGATTAACATATGCATAGCAGCGTTATTTACTTTTCTGTAACTATTTACGACACTGTAATAAGAATATCAAAGATTCTTTCATGTACTCTGAGGAAACATGTAAATTATTTATTATTACAAACTTAATAAATACAGTATTTATTACATGACTCTCCCATTTTAGTCTTTGGAATTTGAATAGCTTGTCTCAACACGCATACACTTTAACTTTGATACTTCTAATTGTAAATTGGTGGCCATTAAAATCACGTAGGATGATCTTTCTTCAGTAACCTAATAGCAAAACTAATAAATTTTTGTTTTGATACAT